TGGCCCCGCCCCTGCCCCTGCCCCTCCTCTCCTTCCCTGCCCACTCTCCCCCTGCTGCAGGCCTGTCAGCTCTTCTAACCCACTCTCCCCCGCAGAGGTCGAGGGGACCCCTGCACCCCAGGAAGATGAGTCCATGAGCCCCACGCTGTTCTACCAGATGCAGGAGTCACTTCTTGGTTACTGGGACACAGCCAAAACAGCCGCCCAGGGCCTGTCCGACGTAGGAAAGACACTCAGGTATCACCCCACCCCAAACAGCAGGAGCCCCAGCCCCCTGCCCCTCTTCCTTCAGACGCAGGAGTCTAGGTTCAAACCTACGCTCTTTCAAGGCCCAACTATCAGCCCCCAGCCCCCAGCCCCATTAGAACCTGAGATTCAGAGATCCCAGCCCTGTCCTATCTAGGATTCCAGGAGCTGGGATTGCAGCCTCCTTTCCCTGCAGGACATGTGATTCTGGCCCTCGGTCCCCGCTTCCCTCAGTCCTAAGAATCCAGGCTCCTCCTCTCTCAGACCCTCTGTCCTTTCTCCCCAGGGAAATGTGCAGCAAAAGTGCGGAAGCTATGACCACTTACGCAGGGATTTTTACTGACCAGGTCTTTTCTGTGCTGAAGGCAGACCAGTAACAGCTGGGCCCCCAATCACTGGAGAGGGGATAGTCCAGATCCCAGTAATCCCTTGGCTCCCTGACCACCCCCACCCCCTACTTCCTAGCAGCTCTCAGCATCCTGCTTCCAACTTTAGCCTGATGTCTTATCAATAATAAAAAAAAAAGCCAAGTTTACTCTCTTTGATGTAGTTGCTTTTCTGAGACCTCAGGGGCCAAGATGGAGGGACTCAGTCAGTCCAGCCAACATTTATTGAGCGCCTGTTGTAGGTATGTAGCCCTAACCTGGTCAGGCGTAATAAAGAGGTGAATTATAACGATAAATGATCATAACAACAAAATTAGACTGTCCTTCACTAAGGCCCTTCTTTCCCTACTGTAAAATGACAAACCATAGCTAACCTGTAGTGACTTCTAGCCATGTCCAGGACCTTGTCTGACACTTTATTATTATTTAAAAAATATATATATCTTTATTGCCTGGCTGGGTGTGGCTCAGCAGTTGAGAGTCAACATAGGATCCAGGCGATCGGGGTTCGATTCCCGGTCAGGGCACATGCCCGGGTTGTGGGCTAGACAGCTGATCAATGACTCTCTCATCATTGATGTTTCTATCTCTCTCTCCCTCTCCTTTCCTCTCTCTGAAATCAATAAAGATATATTAAAAAAAAAATAAAAATCTTTTGGCACGCCCCCTACTGGAGATCTAGCCCACTACCCGGGCATGTGCCCTGACCCGGAGTCAAACCTCAATCTCCTGGATCATAGGTCGATGCTTAATCGCTGAGCCACACTGGCCAGGCCATTGGTTGATTCTTGTATGTGCCTGCAACCTTGGCGTATCAGGACAACGCTCTAACCACCTGAGCTACCTGGCCAGGGTGTTCTCTTCTTATCATAAACAGTCATAACATTTTCTGAGCTCCTACTCAGGGCCAGGAGCTGAGTTTCCATCCTCAGGCTACAAATAGAGAGGCTGAGGGGAAGGGGTGGGCAGAGGATTCGCAAGCCAACCAATAGAGAAGATAACTTCAGACAGCAATACATGCAATGAGGAAAAGGAGAGGACATGGCTCAAGGCCTGGGTGTGGCCACCTTGGATAGGTAGTGGGTTTGGTGCAGGGAGGGTCCCCAGGAAGACCTGGCTGGGCTGGTCACAGGGTTACGCAACTGCGGTGTGGTTGGGGCTGTGGTTGCTGGAGAGTGGGGGGAGGAGGGGCACTCCCTTGGCCCCCAGGTCTGGGGGGGGTGTTAGCTATTAGAAGAGGGTCTCTGGGCAGTGGGGGATAGCAGACAAAAGGCACAGGGTGTGCAAATAAGAACAGAGGCTCTGCAGTCTGAGAGGGCAGTGCTAGAGCCTGTGGGTAGAGGAGCTGGGCACCTGGACTCCTGGATTCTAAGGGAGTAGAGGGTGGTCCTGGGCCCCCAAGTCCTACAGGATAGAACTGTTGGCCTCTGAGGACCCAGGCCTATATTTTTCCTAATCTGCTTGGCATTAACCTCCGGGCAACTTTTCAGCACTGTTGGGGCAGTTTACCCAGGTCCTGAGGCTGGGCATCTGTGAGGCCAGTGGAAAACAGGAGCTTGGGGAGGGGTTGTGGGAAATGTCCCTAAGTCCCCAGGGCCTGGGAAGAGCCGAGGCTGCCAAACCTAGGGGTGATGGGGAGGGGGGACCCTGGAGGAACAATCCCTGCTCTGTCCACTTGTTTCTCAGGAACTCAAAGCCAAACCAAACCTCTGCCCAGGCCAGTTCTGCTTCCAACCAATCCTGGTGCCCTTCCCAGATTCCTCCTTCCTTTCTCAGGCTCCTACCTTAGTTCTACTCAACCTTGGGACCCCAGAGTCCAGGCCCCCAGGCTACTCCTCTCTGAGAACTCAGAAGGCTGGGACCCCAGATTTCTCCCTCAGACTCTGGAGTCCGGACCGCAACCTCCTCTGAGGAACCAGAAGTTCAGGTCCCCAGGCCCCTTCTCCCTTAGAACTTGAAATCCCAGCCTCTGGTTGGTGTTGGGCGCCCCCTAGTGCACAGCAGAGTGGTCTGGCCTGTGATTCATTTACCAGTTAGACGGAATGGAAGAATTTATTTGGTCACACACCAGACAGCCGGGGAGGGCTTTGCAGGGGTCCTATCTAAGGTCACAGTCTAGCCGAGAACCTCTAGTGCTTCAACAGATCAGGACTCAGCTGTATATGAGAGAGGGAGACCGATTGGGGAATTTTGTATCTACAGCTGAGAGCAGAGATGGGGTTACAGTGAAGCTGAAGACTAAGCTTCAAAGCCCTCGCTTGCCTGGGCTTTCTGTGGTCCTCTGTTTAAATTTGTACGGGTAATTTTGTACTTTTAAAAGAGAGGCCCACCCTGGTCGGTGTGGCTCAGTTGGTTGAGCATCATCAGGTGCACTAAAAGGTTGCCAGTTCGATTCCCAGTCAGGGCACGTCTGGATTGAGGGCTCAGTCTCCCATACGGGGCCTCCAGGAGTCAGCCAATCATTTCACTATCACATTGATGTTTCTCTCTCTCTCCTTGTCCCTCCTATTCTCTGTAAAAATCAATAAAAATATTTTTAAAAAATAGGCCCAAAAAATCTCAGCCTGCCCACAGTCTGGGGGATTTCATCCGTATGTTTATTTGTGCCTGGACTTAAAGACTGGGCCTACAATTTTACATTATCATTATTACTACCATTATTATCTGTACGAGAAGGGGATTGGGAAAGAAGTTTTCTAAGGTTCCTTCTTGCTCTTGTGATGCTCAGAGGTAAGTCATTCACGTTCTGCACTCAGTTTCATCCTTTCACTCGGCAATTGCCCCTTGGGGCAGTGCTGGAGGACACAGCACTGGGCTTGCTTGCCAGGGGAAAGACACACCACACCCATCCCTGACCTTGATGGCCCACAGTGAGCAGAGAGGGGGTGAGGGAGTCCAGGGATCTTGAAGGACTGGGAGGCAGTGCCCTGCCCAGCCTAGGGGGCCAGGGAGGGTTTCCTGGAGATGATATTATTATTGAGCTGAGAGCTAGAGGGAAGTGGAGGAAGTAGATTGTAAAATAATAAATAACTATATTCTCCCAGGTGATGCCTAAGGTTCGCAGTAACAGCGCAAAATTTTGATTGATTGCTTATGAAGCATGAGGCAGGGTCCAGGTGCTTTACATTGGTGAGCTCACTGGGTAGTCTCAAAAGCCTGATGGGACAAAAGAGTAAGAGGAATAGCAGACACTAGTATAATACCTAGTGTGGACAAAAAGGGGCCACATACTAAACTCAAAAAGCTCAGGGCAGGCCTGTGCCGTGGCCTTGTAAACTCAGAGACCTAAAATAACCACGAAGGGTGGTCTGAAATTAAAACTTTTTAAACAGAAGCAGTTTACGGTTGGCAGCCATGTCCTAAGGCAGTATTTTTCCCAAACGAAAGTTAATTTTCACCTTAAGCCTGTAGGCTGTCTTTCATCTGAATAACATACCTGATTAATAGGTGCCTTTGCAAAATAACTTCCCTGCACCAGGGCAGAGACCTCCCCCCCCCCATCCTCATTGTTAATGTTATCTTGGTTATCTTGTTAACTATCCTGTACCCACCTATGTGAAAGAAGTACGTGGCCATTCAATCCCAGAGGTTTCCCTGCTTTGCTTTCTCCCACCTCCCTAATCTATCACCAATGAATTTCTTGTAACCCACATGTGTCTTCGCCTTTGATTGTAATCTGTAAAGCAAGACTGCCATTCTCCAGCACATTATTTCAATCCGTTGAGATTTTGGCTCCCCGACATCAAATTAATTCACACAAAACTCTTCACAGGTTTGAATGTTTTCTTACGTTAACACTAATTTATAAGAAAGGAAGAAACAGGCTTAAAGAGATAAGTCACTTGTCCAGGATCACTTAGCCAATCAGCAGTGTAAACCCAGGTCAGACCTCCACCCAATTCATTGGTGAAGGTTTAACAGCCGCTGAGAATCTTCTGCCCTCTCTGGGTGGGCCTTCGTAATACCCTCCCCAAACCAGGAGTCTCTGAGCAAGTGTCCAGGCTTGGAGCTGTAGAAAGATACACAGCTAATAAAATTTGGAACGCATACAGCCCTTGAAGTCCAGTCCAGAGGCCCAAGGTTTGCTCGCAAGACTACCAAGAGAATGCGCATGCGCGCTAAAGTGGTGGCCCGAAGGCTAGGGGAGGGGCCGACAGGATCCAATTTGGGGGGTGTGGTGGCCGTGAGAACCCTGAAATACAGCGGTGAATGCACAGGAAGAATATAGCCTGAAGGGAACTTGTCGAGGGAAAAGCCTGAGTTAGGAAAAGAGGTGAGAGGGCGAGAGTACCCGGCAAAAGCCCCACTCTCTAGCTCTGGGTACGGTGTCCAGGAAGGTTCCTTCACTGCAGGTGGGCGTGGCTGAGCCTAACCTTTTGAAGCCTTACGGTGGCCGGGAAGGAAAGAACTCGAAGAATCGGCGCAGTGAAGCGGGCAGGACGGCCTAGAAGGCTCACATCACTGGAAGAGGCGGGTTTATTGGAGGGGGGGAAAAGGAATGGAGCCTGTGGGAAGCGCACATGTTGGCCGAGAAAGTTCTGGAAGTTCGGAGCAGGCGGTGTGTCCACCAGGTGAGACCAGGCTACTGGGAGGGGGAAGTACGGTGGCCGGATTGGTTCCTTCGTAGCCGGAAGCAGCTCCCTTAGAGGCGTGGCTGAGGCGTTCTCGCCGGGTACGGTGGCCGGCGTGTCGGGGAAAAGGGTGAAATCTCGCGCGATCGCGCTGGCGCCGTCGGGGACGGGGCG